CAAATACTTTGTCAGATGTGTTAGCTAAGCAAGGGGTAAATAGGGAAGAATTGTTTTGGGCTCAGTTCTGATTCTTGCTTTTCTTTCCTAGTTTACTTGTAAGATTCAAGGAGGGGCTGCAGCTCGCGCCTCTCCTTGGGATATTGTATGAACTCACTCTAAATCTGCTTCTGAATTAATAAATTTATTATCATTCTTAAAAAAAAAACATGCTTCAGGTTTGACAGTTCATATTAATTTTTAAATTTACATTTTAATATGACCAAACCCAGTTGGCCTAGTGATTGGTAAAAAATGAGAGAAGAGGGGAGGATAGGAAGATCCAAGCCCCTTCTGATCTGCAGATTTTTAAAAAAATTGGTAGTCTTTTTAACAACTAAAAGAAGATGTCTAAAGCCACAAACATAAGAAACAGCAATGGTGGGGCATCTAATCACTGCATTAAGGCAGAAAAAAAAAAGTTGCAAGGGAGCGTAACTCACTGCATCAAGGCACACTTGGAGCTTTTTTGCCTCATAACTATCCAAAGAAGATATCATGTTTGATCCTGACATTCCACTAGCCAAAGCAATGACAGTATCATTGGTGCTTGTATCCCCATCTACCTGCATTCCCACCATACCTGAATCAGGAATAGGATAACCTGAATTCATAAACCTAAAGCATGATATCAATTAGAAGATTATAGATGCTGACTCCAAGCATGCTTTTAGAAATTGACAATATCATGTATAGAGTCCTACTATGGTGCAGAAAATGAATATTTGCAACAAGTTAAATCTAGATATCAAGCAATCATGTTAAAGCTGTTACATCGTTACTTACCTTTCATTTGGTTCATGTTTCACAGGGTTTACTTGCCAATCACTGATAAAAAAAAAGGTTTACTTGCCAATCAAGTTAAAGACCCCAACTACGTTTAACATGACAACTGTGACGTCTCACTTTATCACTGGTTCATGTTCTTCACAGTGCAGTTTATGCACCATAGCATTTATCTCATGTATATAATAATTAGTTGATATGATATAAGATGCATGCATATTCCTTCCCTTGCTAACCCACCAGCCAATACACTTGCAGATTTGAGGATCTAACCAAATGAACAAATTCAAGTCAAATGCTAATGCCATTACTTCCCATATCATAATTCTTAGTGCAAGGTCCTTCCAGTCCCTAACAGGAACCAAGTTACTACTTTACAATCCACTTCAACTATTATGTCACATCTGCCGCATCTGCTAATTTCAACTCTTGAAGAATTCCCTGCTCCAGCTGGGCCTGAAATCTTGTAACTATATTTCCGGAAAAATCTTTCAGGTGTCTTCCATGGCTGAAACAAAACCTGTCTTTGATGAGAAAAACCACTATGGACCATCCACTCTCACCATACACAGGTCAATAATGGTATTTAAGTCTTATTTTTTGTTTTCACATGGTTTAAAATGTTGACATATTTCCATTTCCATGGATACCGACACAAAATAGTAGTAGAATAAGCACTATGTGGAGTTTATGAGACAATATTATAACATAATGAGTAAGCAACAATTTTGCAAATATATGGAGCAATATTATCAGTCTCTCTTCTTTCCTTCCGCCTCCACTTTGTTCATCAGATAATAAATAGAAGTACAAAAATAAGATAAAAAAATCTCCTGCAATAATCACTCCAAAGAGGTGTTAGAACTGAGAAGAAAAACAGCCTTTTGAGAAGAAAGGACTGTTTAGAAAGTTGCAAAAATTCAAAAGAAAGTAGCAGGAATCAGAGTTCAAGAGGAGAGAAGAAGAAGAAGGTGGCGGCAACTTGGGTTCAGAGAGAGAGATTTTCGAACATAATCTCTTCTCTTACTCCCTTAATTCTATTTCATTAAGTTAAACTTTAGTAATTTACAGAGAAGCCCCTAGTTGGGCAGAAAATTAAAAAGACATAACATAAGAAAGAATAAAGCCCAGATTAAGGCCCATTACAGAAAAGAACATAAAAGATAAAAAAGGATAAACAGCCTATGGGCCATTCGGCCCATCTTCTCTACAAACCGCAAAAGAGAACAACGGAGAATTCTGCTTCTTTAGAAGTTAGGCACTGATTCAAAGAGGGTGTTTCAGAGATGTTGAAGAATTATATTAGGTCAACTGGGTTTTGTAGAATCCGTTGAACCAAAGCTTCTAAACCTGGATTTGAAGTCTGTTGGGAAGAAGTTGATACCCATTCTGTCTATGAAATCAACCTACCTTCAAAGGCCTAAAAGTTTTTCATGTGAACAGAGAGTTGCAAAAATAGGAGCTTGGATTTTATGAGAAATTTGAGGGCACCAGCAGAAATGGTGAGAAAAGAAAAGGCTTCAGCTGTTACCACCTTGCACCTTTAGAAAGAGATTGAACAAAGCCCACCTTTCTAACCTGTTTTCATCTCCTTTTCTGCAAATTCTTAGTATGAACCCCATTTGATTATAGCTCTGCACCTGCTCTGCAATGGGAACAGTTCATTACACTTTAAATTGTGATTCTCTGCAGATTCCATTTGAACTGTTTTCTTGACACCTAGCTATTTGATTATTTATTAACCATTCAATCAAGGCACCATGTCACAAGTTAGTCCAGGATGATTGATTGATCGTATGTTCTCTTGAAGTTTTGAAGCCACATACTTGACTATGAAGTCTGAACAGCGAGCGTGGTGCAACCTTTAATGCAAAATGACTTATTACATGACAGGTTAGACACAGATCTCTCCTTCCCTCTCTCTCTGAATCCTCTGTCGTCAATGTGCAAGGATGCCAAATAGGAAGACGATGACCCGGGCTGGGATCCTTTGGAAAACGGTGGTTGCAACTGGTTCTTCAAGTCCCAGGACAACATCTCCTCTGCAATACCCCTCAACTTGGTCTCTTCAGGATTGGATCACCTTCACCTTATCATCATCATCACCACTACCCCATTGACCGCCATTGATGTCAGCCATCACCAATAACTACTGCATCATCTCAGTCAACAACTGCTTAACCAAATACCCGTCCTCCATTTTTTTTTTTTATGAATGAGTATAATTTATTAAATCAGAAATATGAGACAATACAGTAGACCCAAGAGGAGGCACGAGTTGTTACCTCTTCTAACAAGTATTACATCAAATTAAAACAGAATTGACCAGAA